TCAATATAGGTTGTGGAAGAAACTTAAACATCAAGAACATTGAAGTGGCTAGCCTTAGTATCCCTGTCTGATAATTCGCCTAAATTCGCTGCCACATCCCTACAAACATTCATTATACAGATGAGCGCTAGAAATCACATGAATTTCTTGTAAAGTGGTTTTTTCCCACAGTTCGGCTCCTCATGTAACGGAATACTTTTGAATTAGAGCGTCTGGTTCGCTCTTTCGTTTAACCTTCTTCCTCGCATCTTTTTTTTCCATTCTTCTCGCATTCAGTAACTTGAATGAATCACATCAGGTAGTAGCAATATCTCTAAACTCTCTCGTCTGCCCGCATCTGTGTGCTAGGCTCATTTGGCTTATTCATTTTTTTGATGACCTATTGCCGCACACTACTCTCACTTATCTTCTTTTTTCTTCCTTGACCTTCCTCTTCTCGGAATTCACTTTTGTCTCGATATGTTCATCTTTTTTGGAATGGAGGAATTAAATGCATTTTGTGATAAATTTCATATCTTCAGTAATTTGACGTTAAGATGAGTAATATGAGATAAGAAAATACTTTTATTTTCTTTACTGAGGATCGATCTTGAACATAAGCTATATTACGTACTTACGTCTCCTGAGATTTCTGTATCAATAGTACTTTGACTCTTCCTTTTAAGCATTCCATCCCTGGTCAGATTTGCCAGAAGTGGCTTATCTTTCTTCATTCCCTTTTTATAGCTAGCTACCTTTTTCACCTCTTAATTCCAATCAGTCTACCACCTTTTGCTACTTGTCAGTTTTCCAGCTCAAGAAACTAGAGTAGCTTGTAAAGACAGTTTTGGCACCCTTTTCTTACCGTTCATCTTAATGAGTTTATAAATGGACTACCTCTAGGTCGCCTAATGCTTTTCCGAAGTGACTGCCTCCCGCCCTTTCTCCGGCAAATATATTCCTCTGTGTCAAGTGCCAATTCACTATGTGCCCATTTCGTTGGACTTTCCTAGAAATTTTCAACTTTTACTTAAAAGGTGTCCCTCATCTTAAAACACTTTTATCTCGTCTTTTCGCCTTATCAGTAATGTGTGGACATGTTATCTTCTGTCTGCCCATTTCTTTTCTTTTGAATGTTCGAATACTGGTGGATCACCGTCCATGCCTTCTGTATAAAGTCCACTGATTGGTCGGTTCGATTCCGCTTAGGGGGCACCTAAAGAAAATACTCACGACTGCTAATAAATATCCATGCACACATATCGCTCCCTTATACGTGACCTCATTAATTCCTTTATTTCCCTTTCCATATATATACATATTTGCATTTATTCTTTTAATTGGTTGTTGGCTGAGAGGCACATTTTATATTCTGTAAGGAAAATACATGGGTATAGCTTTTTATCGAAATCACGCTCTTTCATGGTGACGTGCTTATTTTACCATGTTTTCAATTTTTCCGGAGCCTCCGGATTATTTTGAAACTGCATTTTAAAGAAATATTATAAGCATCAAATTACCAAGTGAATGGGAGGAACTACAGCTTCATTATAATTTATGCATTTAAGTACGTTTTAGCAGGATTTTTTAATTTGTATATTTCTCATTATCGCTAGTTCCTTGCTTGTAGTCATACTTTTCCTAAAATAGTCGACACGATACTAGCCGTTAATGAGATTTATCATAAAGAGAGCAACTTTTAGTCGCTGTTTAACCCACAAAATAACCAAACATTAATTTATATAATAGTGAGTGGTTAACGAGATATCTTAATAATTAAAATATATTGAACTAATGTTTCGGCACAACTTCTATTATCAAATAAAGTCGATATCCTTAAATTTATCAGCGTTATTCAATTATCGGAATATGAATTGTCTACAAAAAGTAAAACACAATTATTGTCTATCATATTCTTAGTTGGCAACTAGGTTAAATGGAAGTCATAGTTTGAGGAAGTTATAATTATAACTAGTATTCATTCCCAGTACAATGCTTAAAGTTAGGTTTTCACACCGTTTCTTCATTGGATCCTCTTCATCTTCCTCACGCATAGTCGAAGTTAAACCTTGCATTAACACCACTAGTAATTTGACTCTTCACCTAATAGCCAATCCAGAGACTCTCATCCAACGATGACCCTTTCATTCGACAACACGAGCTAAAAAGACTTATAAGACGATATTTAAGACTGCTCATCAGGATATATGGCAGCTGTTAGGCTACGAAATTTCTTTCAGGCTAGATACTCTTGGTCTCCGATACTTCTTGGTGTGGCTGGTACATCGAGTTGTTCAGTATCCTGAACTTTTATACCTACTTTTTATAGATAGGTCAGATTCAGCCAGTGTTTATCTCTTAGAGACAAAGTTTACAATACTTATTTGGTGGAATCTAATATATTTTTCCTACTAATAACACTTTAAGCAAGAGATATTTTCCATATGAATAACAAGATAATGTAGCCTTCGGCCTAGCTAGAATCTTTATCCACTACATAAAGTTGCCTGGTTTTTCAGGTCTTGCAAGTCTTGATTGTTTGGTCAAGACCTGAGTTGTATAGAGGGTGCATATAGGAAATCAGTATTTGCTAGCTTTATCCTTAACTTCTTCAAACATATTTACTAGAAAATTGATATTTTGAGCTCAATAATATTAGAAGTATAGGATTAGCTGATGGAGACTATTGGGATATTAGGCTAAATAGGCCTTACGCAGATGATTGAGATCAATTACCCCTTATGCTTTATTGCAAATTATATCAG